GTGTATTGAGGTGCCAACTATTGAATTGTCAACTACAAAATTCTTGGGAGTTTTTGTTGATGAGACTTTGAGTTGGAGGGAACAAGCTGATTACATGAGCAGAAAAGTACATAAATCTACTTGTATAATGAGGAGGGTTAGGGATCTTGTTACTACAGACTGTCTTCTTTACGATTTACTGTAGTTTAATTTATCCGTACCTTTCATATTGTAATACAGTTTGGGCGAGTATTTTTCCTACTCTTCACAAATTTATCCTTCAGAAGCGTTTTGTTTGATTGCAACCCGATCAAATGCATATACTTAATTTGCTTCTTTATTTCAGAAACTTCAGGCTCTTACTGTTTATAATATTAATATTTTTAAATATGTGTTTTCACATATAAGATATATTCAATTGAAGGTAACATTCCAGAGCAATTTAAGATGTATTTTAAAGTAAATTCACAGGTTCACTGTCTTAACTCGTCAATACCCAGATTTTAATCCTCCTAAAATTTTCACTTGTAGAGGTCAATACTTCATAAGATTTAGGGGTATTAAATTATGGAATGGTTTATCCCATCTAGCAAAAAAAATATGTTCTTCTTTAATATGTTATAAAAGATGTATAAAGGATCATTTTAGTGCTGCCTTGTAATTGTGTTTTTGGTTCTTTATGTATTTTATGTACCCTATAAGGTTTGTTTTTGGAGCACATTATTTCAGTTTTTTTACATATGTTATAATTAATTTGATGCAGTAATTTACATTTATATATTTGTTATTGTAATTTATGTAATGTTGTGTTATGTAATGTCTTCTTTATTGTTTAGGTGGAGGCTCTAAATAAGCCCTTTTGGTGTTTCTGCCCCTCCTTGCACAGCATATGGATTTTTTTATTTTTTTTGTATATATTTTATTTTTGTGCAATTAAACTAATCTAAAAAACAAACAAAAACATTTTTAAACATGCGCGACCTGCTGCCAGAGACACGAGTGCAATGGTCAAACATGGCCGTCTAGCATATTTACATAGGAAGACATTTGAAAAATAGCAAAAATGCAATGGGGAAAAAATGCATTCCGTATGAATGACCCCGAGCGAGTTTCTATTTCATTCTTTGCTGTGAGTATCGGGTCCTTAAATTCCATCCAGATTTGACTGTGTCTCCTCAGTAAACAGGTTGTTTGTCTTGTTGACTATTTGACACTTGCACACCATCAAAACGCTGCTAATGGCTCAACCTGAAACTCGCTGTTGCTGGTGTTTTTGTTTTGAAAGTGTTTACAGTTATGAATTGTGCGGTGAGCTGCTCTTCGATGTGTGAGAAACAGGATGAGGTTAGGTGCTGCCGTGTGGTTTGGGCTGACATGATAACCCCGAGCTGAGGACATGCTTTTTGAGAACCTCTCTGCTGATGGCTCGACCTCTTTCCTTGCGATGATGGAAATGTTGACATATAGCTAATGCATTTTAGAGATGGAGAAAGTGAGAGAAAATGTGTGTGTGAGAGAAAGAGGCTCTTAAAGGGGTTATATGATGTTGCTAAAAAGAACATTATTTTGTGTATTTGGTGTAATGAAATGTGTTTATGCGGTTCAAAGGTTTAAAGGTTCAAAAAACATTATTTTCCACATACTGTACGTTATTGTTTCTCCTCTATGCCCTGCCTTTCTGAAACGCATCGATTTTTACAAAGCTCATCGGTCTGAAAAGCGAGGTGTGCTCTGATTGGCCAGCTATCCAGTGCGTTATGATTGGCCGAATACCTCAAGCGTGAGACGGAAATGGTATGCCTCTCACCATACTGTTGATGCCCTGTCAGGCCGGAGCGACAAGACAAAAACATTAAAACCCATTATAACGAGGCATTTGTTGCATCCAGTGGACATAATTACGGATTATAATGATTTATACTGTCTTTTTACGCATTGCGTTGCATCGCACCGCGCCGCGCCGCGTAAACATAAAACCATGTCTGCATTTGTGATGGGAGAAATGACAAACAACAAGCGCTACTCTACACTGCTCAAAACTCGCGTTTGAATCATCAGTGGCAAGTTCTTTAAATATAAAAAAAGTACTTACAGTCTTTGAGTCAGAACAGCCGGCATTGTAGTCTACTCTCCCAGGATCAGGCAACAGTCCTCTATAAAATGTGCTGCACACATTTGTTGAAGTGTTCTGGAACAGTGTTGTAAATACAACTTAACCACTGATTTCTAGTCGTGTCCTCTTTTGGAAGGCCAAACAAAGTATTTTCGCTTTCACAACGAAACACAGCGTCACACATGGACGCCTAGAGTGAGCGGCGGCAGCACCAAGAGCTTGTAACACTTCAAAGAGAAAAATAGAAATCGCATTATATAACTCCTTTAAATACACAGCGAATGCACAGCATGGGTCTTTCCAGAGGGCACTTTGGCAGCAAAAGATCAAGACATAATCCCAGTGAAGAGACCACAGGGACGCCAATAAGAAGCTATTTCAGGTGACTCGAAAGCTTGACGCTGCTCGGCCCACTTCTTGACCCTCCATATGAAACACAGTATTGAACGTGCTGATTGAAACCGCTACTTATACAAATCCTCTGTATTTCAGGTGTGCAGCCCCACTGGGATACAGGATACAGTAAATGAAAATAATACAATTCTAATACAATATGCATATAGTCATGCATATTTAAGATTGAAAAAATAAATAGATGCATCTACTTTTAGTATGGGGGAAAACCCTTTCCATAATGATGATGTTGTTGATGATGAAGGCTGTGAGTCACCTTTCTGTGAGTGGAATTTTCCTCAGATTCATCAGTCACTTGGTGGCAGATGTAACATGAGCAGGTTGTGTGACATACACTCATTATTGTAAAAAAATACTCACTACAACTGTGTGATACAGGAAAAATTTGCTTTTAAATGCAGGTTCACTTCCACCAAGGACAAATGTTATTTGTACTGATCACCATGAGTTTTGTGTGGATAACTTAGGTTATAGGTTAAAGATAGGTCACCATGTTATATTGAATGTTAGAACCACAGCAGAAAGAAATGTCTGCAGTCGTTTGTAGACACAATGACCACATTTACACTGTCACCCTTTTTTCTCTCGCTCTCTCTCTCTCTCTCTCTCTCTACAGACTTGTGGCATAGACTGGATCTTGTTGCATGTGTGGAAACAGCAAAAATATTTATGATATGAGATTTTACACCATCTGATTTGGACTGCTTCCAAATGTGAGTCTAAATCTGGTATGTATCTGATATCTGGCCATCAGTGCACACATGCCACCATTGACAAGTGAGCAATAAGAGCTACAGTGATGATTAATATTCGTATACACTATTATTCAAATTTACGTTTTTTTTGTGTGTGTTTTTTGGAAAGAGTTAAAAAAATATATTCAGTAAGGACCCAGTACATTCATCAAGTGTAACAATAAAGACTTTTACATTGTTACAAAAATTATATTTCAAACTAAATCTGTTATTTTAAACTTAATTATCAGTATTATTCAAATTTACGTTTTTTTTGTGTGTGTTTTTTGGAAAGAGTTAAAAAATATATATTCAGTAAGGACCCAATACATTCATCAAGTGTAACAATAAAGACTTTTACATTGTTACAAAAATTATATTTCAAACTAAATCTGTTATTTTAAACTTAATTATCAATGTGTCCTGAAAAATATATATATATTGTGATTTCCTCAAGAATAAGAAGCAGCACAATTGTTTCAACATTGGCCTAATTGTTAGAGAGTCTGACTTGTTTTCTGACCCCAAACTTTTAAATGGTAGTGTAATTGTATTTTATATATAATACATAATTTTAAATGTATTGATGTAGTTTTATTTATTTAACATTTAATGCATTTAATTAATTTAATAATTGTTCCTTTGCATATGCATGCCACATTCAAATAACCACTTCTTGTATTCCCACAATCTGATTGAATGTAAACAGATGCACATGTTTCAGGATATTGGTTCTGTGCATTAGGTTTTGCAGTGTATATGCATTCATTTTAATGCAGATTTTCCTTATACATTAATTGTTGCAGACATTTTGTTTTCAGTCACAATGCGCTGTAATTGCTTTGTTGGGCTACAAATAGAAACAGAAGCTCACCTCTGATGATTTGTGTGCATTAGGTTCAAAGATGCAGCGGTTAAATGAATGAATGAATGAATGAATGATGCATTTATATTGCGCTTTATTGTGTATTGTTGTACAGCCAAAGCGCTTTACAATCATGTGGGGGGGTCTCTCCTCAACCACCACAGTAACACAAATATAAGCGTTCCCATTTGCCTATCCTATTTTTATGTCTAAAAAATGTTTCCGTTTATTAGAATAAAAGAAAGCTAATATGATTTCCATCTTTAACATTCTTAAGTTTAATATAGCATCCAGTGTATTAAAATTGTGAGATGGAAATGTACTGCGCAGCAGGAATGACCCAGACCCGCTAATTAGTCCCTTACGGTAATGTATTTGGGCAACACCCAAAACCAGAGCCTGGCGTCTGTCCTGCTCCACCAAACCTTGGAATTCAGATACAGTGACTCAGACTGCATATTTCACAGAGGAAAAAAAAAACTTATCTGGAGTTTAGTTGTGGAGACAGCTGTGCAGGGTCAGAAGAAGGCCTGGAGAGAGAGAGAGAGGGAGGGAGAAGAGAAAAGAGCGGTGAAGGACACCATGGGAAAAGTGATTTCTTTCAGAAAGAATGTTAGCGGTTCCAGCCCGTGATTCCAGCTTTTAATGGATCACCTACCAATGGTTTCTAAGAACTCACGACTGCCACTGCTGTGCCTCTGTGCTGATGGCATTTGAGAGTAACAGAGTGTGAGGAGAGGTGAGAAATGTGACTATAGTGTAGCAGTAGGGTTTTGTTTTAGTGAAGACAGACCTACTGTGAACTCCAAGTTTGTTAATTGGTGATATATATTTCTGTTTTTTTTTTTATATATATAATTTAAATTTTTACTTATTGTGATTATTTACCATTGAAGAGTGGGGTCAGTGTGTTTTTTTGTTTTTTTTTAAAGAAATTACTTTTTTTTTCTTTAATTCAGCGAGGGTGCATTAAATTTATCAAAAGTGATAGTAAAGATATTTATAATGTCACAAAAGATTACTATTTCAAATAAATGCTGCTATTTTTTTTACTTTCTCTTCATCAAAGACTTGAAAATATGTATCCACAAATATATTAAGCAGCTCAACTGTTGTCAACATTAATAATAAGAAATGTTTATGTATGTGTATATATATATATATATATATATATAATTTTGTATAATGAAAGATTAAATGAATTGAATGGAAAGACAAAGTGTGTATATATACTTTGTCTTTCCATTCAATTCATTTTAATCTTTCATTATACAAAAAAAAATGAAAAAGAAATATATATATATATATATATACAGGTGCATCTCAATAAATTAGAATGTCGTGGAAAAGTTCATTTATTTCAGTAATTCAACTCAAATTGTGAAACTCGTGTATTAAATAAATTCAATGCACA